AGCAGAAAAAAGCCTTCTGAAATGTAAAAATCTAGTTTTACTTGAGGCTTTTCTCTCTTTAAATGTACAGATCAATAAAGAGAGACAGGAAAATAGGAGTAAACAATGATGTGAAGCATGTCAGGCTCAAACCTGCGATCTTCATTGGCTTATACTGTATGTCAAGAGCACATGTGCGAGCCACTGCACCACGGCTCAGACATGAAGAGGGATTCTGAGGGTAGAGAGGCACTAAGCCTGAGCACATGTGCTGATTTGTTGCTGGCTAAAGTCGGAACAGATTCACTTGAGCCTCAACGGTCTTTAAACGCTCTCAGATGGCGCAGACCTGTTAGTGTTAACTGCGCCATGAAAAGGGGACGTTATTGGATCCGGGCAGCAGCAGAACATCAAACAGCCCGTCAGGCGGTGGAATCTTTCCCTCTTTCTCTCTCTGCCAGCCACAGAAGACATAATAATCCCCCTTGAGCGCCAGGTAATGAGAAGACAGGGTCCTACCTGCTTTCTCTAATAACACACACTTCTTCTGCACACAAATCAGGGCAGGGGCCTGGGGTTTGGTGGGTAAGCAGGTTGTGGGGAGAGGTGAGAACAAGATCCCTGGCACACCGAGGGAAAGAGAAAGAGAACGAAAGTAACGGGGCAACCAGGGACCCAAGCGGAGCCAAAAGCCTGGAAGGTGGAGACCAGCCATAGTTGCCAGAGACAGCCAAATGCATTCAGAGCATTCTGGACCCCGTTCGGTCTACATGCTGCCAATTCATCCAGCAGCAGGAGAGGGAGAGCGAGCCAGAGAGGGCAGACAGCAGGACTAGGGCCGGGTTCCAGTTGGAATAGGCCAGGCCCGCATGATGAACAGTGTACAGACTGTACCATTTAATAAATCTCTCGCTCCGCTCCAGCTAACACAAACGAGATGTCAAAAGGCCATTAAACACTCTCACACTTTACGCAACACGTCCACACACATACTGCTTCCCATTAACATTAAAAATACATAAAAAAACACAATTATTTTATAATTAAATTTAATAAAACACCATTCCATCAATTACACTAATTAATCAAACCTGCATGTAATGCATAATTATTACTAAGTAAACTACTTAAGTGAAAGAAAGAAATCATGGTGTTATTTTTACAGTAAGCTTTTAACTAGAAGCTAGTTAGAATATTTTATAAATAACAATATTAATGATATAAATATTAAAACAATATAAATGACATTGCTATTCAATATTTTATTAAATAAATTATTTTACATTATTTAATAAACAAATTAAATATATATATATATATATATATTAAAAAACAGTTAAAGTTAAGCCTACATTTAAAGCTAGTAAAAATAATTATAACATTTATAAATAATAATCAATAATATAAAAATGAAAAATGTATACATTACATTTTTTATATTAAATACGGTTTTATATATTTATACTGTATTATACATTTATAAAACTATTATTTAATTTGATTACATACATTTATAAAAATTATACATAATATAAAAATTATATTTTATAAGTATTTTTTTAAACGCCGGCTCATTATTGGCCAGCTCCTGCGTCAGCATCACACGCATGTGTCGTGGTGCTCACATGAACAGCGTCAGCCAATAATGATCCGGCGTTCTGAGGTAGAACCCAGAAGCGTTGCACTGTTTACTAAGAGAATAGCGTAGCAGACTAACATGGAGAAGAGATTGTTGAATAAAGTTATTCTTTTTGTTTGTTTTTTGTGCAAAAAAAGTATTCTTTTCGCTTCATGACATAAAGGTTGAACCACTGTAGTCACATGGACTATTTTAATGATGTCTTTACTACCTTTCTGGGCTTCGAAAGTTGCAATGACGTTACAGCCTATGGCTGATTCAGAAAGCTCTCGGATTTCATCGAAATATCTTAATTTGAGTAATTAATGACATAATTTTCATTTTTGGGTGAACTAACCATTTAAGGAGAATCGGCATGCAAAAGGGAGAATGTTCGTATCATTCTTGCAGTCAGAAAGTGATTTCTCCAGAGTGTCTTTTTTCATTTCCTGATTTGAGCCGGAGGAGAATAAAAAGAGACAGTTTGTCTGTGGATGAATAGAACTGACCCATTAATGTCAGTGGTGGAGGAAGTACTGAATCTCAGTACTTAAGTAAAAGTACAAATAACCAGAGACATATTTACTTTAGTAAAAGTAGAAGTACCAAAATGACAACCCTACTTAAGTAAAAAGTAAAAAGTACCTGATTTTAAATGTACTTTAAGTATTAAAAGTAAAAGTACTTGCATAACAATTTATTCTCTTAATGTCTATATTCTAATGATTAATAAAACAGTTAATTCTAACTCATTCAACCTAATAATTCTATAATGATGTTCAATATGATGGAAAAGCAGTTATATTTAAAGTTTTTGTCACCATTTCTGAACAAGCTTGCAATTAGGCAATATACACATCAAGCTTACTATATACCCTTACTATATACGGTATATATATATATATATATATATATATATATATATATATATATATATATATATATATATATATATTAGGGCTGTCAAACGATTAATCGCGATTAATCGCATCCAAAATAAAAGTTTGTGTTTACATAATATATGTGTGTGTACTGTGTATAATTATTTTTAATACATAAATACCCACACATGCATGTGTATTTAAGAAATATTTGCATGTATATAGACTGAATGTAGCCTACATATAATGTATATTTTATATAAATATAAACATTTTATATATAAATAACATATTTTTTCTTAAATATATACGTGTGTGCATTTATATACAAAATAATTATACACAGTACACACACATATATTATGTAAACACAAACTTTTATTTTGGATGCGATTAATCGTGATTAATCGTTTGACAGCCCTAATATATATATATAAACACACATTTTATGTTAAAACGCCGTGTATGACGGCGTTTGGCTGTAAACGCGATTCATTTATGGCGTAATTCTGAACCTCTTGGCTTGCCATACTAATCCTAACCAAACGTATAATACACACGCACCCCACATCACTACTAAACCTATGATGCGTTTCCTATGCATGTAAAAACTAATTTTCGCGTATAAGTTGCACGATAAACACACTGCGTGCTATAGAGACGCATTTAGTGTGACCGGGTTGATATATCTATGGCAACCAAACTTCACTGGTGAGACAGAAACGTGCGATGAACGGACGGTCAGGATGACGTTTTGGCAGGGGAAAAACTGATCAGAAAATTTAACGAAAATGTAACAGAATGTTGTAGAAATGTAGTGGAGTAGAAAGTATAATAATTGCTGCAAAATGTAACAAAGTAAAAGTAAAAAGTATGCACTATTGATTTTACTTAAGTAAAGTAAAGATATGTGAAAAATTTACTTAAGTAATAAGTAACGAAGTATTTGTACTTCGTTACATTCCACCACTGATTAATGTGAATAGTCGTCCTCCCCTACAGCCGCTGAACATACTGTACTGTAACTGCTATTGCAGGGGAAAGAGCAACTGAATTCATTCCCAGAGTAAAGCATGTGAACATATCACTGATCTGTCGCTTATTGCTACAACTCAACATGCTGACGGTTTTGTAAACACATTTTAAGAGCTATTGACAGAAAGAGATCCCTCTGAAGTGTTTGCGAATGTGTGTGTGTTTGAAAGAAAGCGCTCTTGCTTCTTTGTTTATCTAATAAACCCTCCCATTGTTTTGACACATAATTAATCAAAGGCAGAGAGAATGACATGACATTGTGAAAATCATTAGAGGAATAATGAGAAGCAGGAACGCAGCGAGCAAAACAGCGATTAATGTCGTACACCACACATCTCTGCCATGCCACAACAAAAGGGCTTTGACTGACATGGCTAATTCGACTCGTCGTCATCAAACCACCACTGGTTAAAACAACAAATAAGGAAAATTCTAAAAGAGTGAACAAAACAACATTTTCGTGTAATCATGCTGATGTTCAACAGACAGTAAATGTGTCTTGTAAAGCTTTTTGTATCTTGCCTAGTTTGCATCAAAGTTAGCCTAGAGCCTAGTGTTCCATTACATTCATGCATTTAAAGAATGGCCTGATTTAGTACATACTGCATTAATAACATACTGTATGTCTTGTGGGTTATATCTATATATAATAAATCTGTAGGAATTGTTTCATGTTAATATGTGTAAAATGTAACTCATGAAGCTCGTAATGGTTCTTTTCAAATTTCGCACACCATTTAGTCATTCATAATTAATGCAGAGTTAATTAAGGCCTTCTCACAGTCATTAACAAGATGGTAATTCTAATTAAATAGAAACACACTTTTAAGTAGAGTCTAATATTGGATTCTCATTGATTCAACTTTGATTAAAAACGAATAAAGATGATTTTAGAAGTGCTGCTATATGATGTAACATGGTATTAATAATACCACTACTGGCACTAAAACTACAGCTAACTAGCTTTACATTTCCTGAAGGAAATCACAATTCAGTATATTAATTACAATGTTGTAATCCCCCCCCACACACACACACACCATATTTAAATCCGTATTTTACATATTCTAGTTGGAAAAAACTAAAAGACATTCACAGTGAGTGACCAAAGCGACCAGACATCATTCATTTTCAAGAAAGATTTGGCGAATTCGGGGAGAGAAGGCAATGCAATGCAAGAGGGCAACAAAGATTTATGCAAATTAGTAGCGAATCGATACGATGAAACAACTACCAATAAGAGAGCAGACAGTGATCTGCCACCTAAAACATAGGAACGACTACTAGAAACCATCTCCAATGATGTATTCGCTATTATGACGGGGCTTTGTAGTTGTCTTTGCATATTATGTAGGGATAAGAAACAGTACTATAACAAAAACATTTCAACATTAATGTTTAATTCCTAAAAAATACATAATGAGATTTCAATACACTACTGTTGTTGTGAGCTCTGTATTAATAGAAATAATTAGGTATGGTCTTACCTTGTCTTCTTGGTCACTCTCGCTTTCACACTGTAAGACAAAGACAAAGGCAACATTAGAACAGTGCAAAATCTAATAGATGTGACAAAGCTGAAACACTTTTTTTTTTTGCTTTTAAATATAAAGCCATTATGAAGTGGAAATCTGATTCCGGCAGTCTCGCACTGCACAGCTCATCAGCAGAGTAATAAAAGTCTAAGCAGGAAAAGGCTGTTCTTATCTCACTCAGTGGCCAGGCCTCATTACATCTGCCTATTACCACCAGCAGGGCCTTTTCTCCCAGACACCAACTAGAGTACGAGTCCAACTATCTTCACGTCTCATAGGCCACAGACACACTGCAACTACTTAAGCTTGTTCTGTACACAGCTTTTTTAAAATAAAAACAACCAAATTCACTTTCCTGATATTCAACAAATTGATTACTTGGTCAAAAATATCTAATATTAAAAGGGTTTAATTGTTGGCCTTGATGTTTAGGGTTGGGTACTGCAGACTTCCTGATTCAATTAGATTCTGAATCCTTTGGGTCTATTTCTAACTTTTTAAATCATTTCAGATTGATTCAAAACTTCTTTTGAAATAAAAAGAACTGGCTCATAATAGTAATTTGTTCATGAATCAGACTACACTGGTTGCTGAATTTGGAGCAACATACTAATTGTACTATTACAGATGTGGCTAAATACTGTAGTAAGAGTAGTTTGTGGTTCCGAATTCAGCATATTCTGATTATTCTGATTCACTAAAAAGTACCAGTTCATAAGAGTTGTTCATGTTCAGAATTGGGCTACACTGGTCACACTGTATTTTTCAGAATCATTCAAAAGAACTGGCTCATGAGTCATTCGTTTACGGAATCGGTCGACAATGATCATGTTGTATGTTTTTTATTTCACTAAAAAGTACCAATTCACAAAAGTCATTAATTTTGAGAATCAGACTTCACTGGTTGCGCTGTATGTTTTTGATTCACTACAAAAACAGTTCATCATAAGAGTCATTCGAATCACGCTACACTGGTCGTGCTATATCTTTTTAAATCACTAAAACAACCAAGTCAATATGAGTATTTTATTTTCCGAATAGGGCTACACTGGTCTTCTTGTATGTTTTTGATTCATTAAAAAGAACTTGTTCATAAGAGTTGTTTGTTTTCAGAATTGGGCTACACTGGTTACACTATGTTTCTGATTAACTAAAAAGAACCACGGTTGTCACTCCAAAAACTTTGCAGTGCATACATAGCCGTAAAAAAAGACTATAGTGATCCAACTTCAAACAGAAAGTTTTTTTTTCCAGTGTGCACTTAAGAATTTAACATTTTAGACATTACCCTGAATGAAAAAAATGGGTAGTGGGGTCTTCATGCAAAATAAAGCAATGAAAAAATGAGCTAATAAACATAGAATGATATTACAATGCTGAATTTATGCCTTTCTGTCCAATTTCAATTTCAAGGTCCGCTTAATTCTTTATCTACTAATTAGCTAGCAGCACACAGATGACTTGGCTGGGAGAGATGCGCTCAGGGTTTGAGTTTGGACTCCCTAATGAAGGCCTGCTAGGGGCGGGGCTTAAGGTCTTCAGGGCCAATTACACCCAGTGGACCATAAACCTTGTGGCAGCCCTGAATGATTGACAGTTCTGGGAGCCGTATTCCTGCAAGGACTGAAAGCTAGGGATAGAAAGTGAGAGGAAGGGACATAGTGAGAGAAGGGAGAATATTTTCTGGCACGAGTTTCTCCCATCTGACCTGATACAGGGCCTGCTGAGCAGCATCCAATTTACAGCCCCAGTCCAATGGGATTCGAGACATACGGGGCTCATGTATTATACATAACCAATAAACACACACACAGGTGTTAATAACCTACTGCTCCTGTGTGTGCCAGTACCATAATACTGTTAGCATTACAGTAAAAATGCTATGAAACACAATCAGTATTATATTATTGAGGCTTTTGAAATACAACCCACACTCTTCCCGTCCTTCCATGTACTTGGCCACAATGGTCGATGTACGACTACATGAAGCCTTCCTAAAGGCCAGAGGCTCCCCTTCATCTGGCACAGGCAAAGTTCCTGAAGAGTTAAAATAATGAGCAAAATGTATTTTTTCCAGTGTGTTGTGATCCATAAAAAACACTGCCGGCATCTCCATTGGCGTGTCAGTGCTCCCCGTGCCCAGCCTAGCGCTTTGATTGCGGAGATATGAGAGGAACGAAATGACTCGCCCTTGCTTGTGAAGCAAATGGAACGCGCTAATAGAACTCATCGCATTACCCAATGCAAAAGTGCCATAGCCCATTACGTCAGGATAAAAGGATATCATTGTAGACGGTGAGCAGAATTGACTTTCTGCGCCGCGACTTGATGATTTAATCAACTGCTCTCCTTCGCTTCTCATCCGCGTGCCTGTCGCTAACACAGGTGCCGTTAAACGACACTCTCTCGCAAGCCAGCGAGTGGAGAAAGGGAAGAAATTGCTGTCATTATTCTTTCTCTCTCTCTTGCTCCTTCTTTCCAAGAATAGAGGTGTGTAAATTTCCATACTGGTGCTGAGAGAAAAGATTGAGAAAAGGGGGGTGGGCCCAGATGGAAATACCTTTATAGTGGGAAAGTAAAAGTAACGGAAAAAGTAAGATTAGATCTGACAGGTAAGGGCAGGCAACTTGTTTGTCCTTAACAGCGAGAAGCTGCACTTTTCATGAATAAACAACAACAAAAAAACAAACAAAAAGAAGGTAAGATCTGTCGCATGTTGTGATTCAAAGTATATTAGAGCGTCTGAGTCATGGCATAGTGCTTAGTACATATTGGGCTGTGGTGCTCATGTGGGAGATGCAGGTTCGAGTCCAGTGTCATTTTTCTATTCTTTGCTTTTCTCTCCATCATTTCCTGTCCTGTTTCATCAAATAAAAGTGGAAAAATATATTGTTGACAGACAATTATACTATACAATTAATATTTTATTATAGTTATATCTTATATTATAATATAATGTAATAGCATATTCATTTTATATTATAATTGCTTCAGTCAGGAAAACATCCATTTGAACAGATTGAAGTTAAGAAAACAACAGTAAAGGATGCTGACAAGAGTAAATATGAAGAGATTGGCGTAATGATGGTCAGTCCAACATATTTAATTCCTCTAAAATACTTGGTATTACAGTCATATTGCATGGATTAACTTGGGAATCCATCTCAGCATTTTCAAGCTTTTTTTCTGGTGTGGTGTTAATTTCAAAGCCAAACACTTCGCCAATTGATCTTGGCTGCAGATCAATATAGCATGTTAAGCTTATTAAAACAGCCAATGGCCTCAGTGGAACAGTAGAGCCATCTGCTTTAGTTAGACACACACTCCTCAGATACAGCGAATGAGGAAGAGCTGATTAGGCCTCCGAATGAGACCAATAGTGTAACAGATCCTGTCTACCCCTGCTATGTTCATGCAGTCTGTACTGCAGCAGTGCAGCATGGGAGCTAAACATCTCGGAAATCCTCAAGAAATCAAAAATGACATATTTGACATATTTCAGAATAACAGTGAAGCAGGAAAGGTATGAAAGCATGGTTCATTATGCACTTGTACTTGTGCTAACACTCACTCTTTGTTTTCTTTCCCAAATATCAATGAAAAGGAATAGGCATTTTAAAAGTGCCTTCAATGTTTTGTGGTTTGTCCCTTGGCTTTATAACAAGAAACAAGCTCTTTGAAATGTCACCAACTTCTTGTTACAACATGAAATGTCAACCCAGCACTATTTAAACAATGTCATGGTTTCTTGAAAGTCTGCACTGGAATCAAAGTCCCTAATTTGGCTGGTTTTCCACTAAAATCGAAATGAAGCTTTTTTTTTTACACGAGCACATCCACACACAGACGACGACAAATTTCCACAATGGCAAAAACAGGGCATTTACATGAAAATAATCTTCAAGCTAAATACATTTAATTTCATTCCTATTTGAAGTCAAATCCCAAAGGCCTCGTAAGTGCGGTACAATAAAGGAGCGAAAGCAATCGTATTCTGAGCTCGTTTAACCAAGTCTTTGCCATTGTCCAAAGCACCGAGCTTAACCAGACTTCTCGAAATGAAAACCTCAGTGCCCACATCAAACTGCATGACACACTCTGGTGAAGGGCCAACACAATGACAAATGTGTGGTTTAAATTCAGCACAGCTATGAGCCAAACACAGCAAACACTGAAAATATGCTTCAAAAATATGTTTAAAAACAGCACATAAAGAGATCTATTCTTATTTAGCAGTCATTGATGTAAAACCGCAGTCAAATGTCAAGTTAGGACGCAAAGTGTTCAACGTTCCATTTCATGGTCTATTTGCCATTGTGTTGTAATTGGCACTGTCAACGAACGCTGAAATTAATTGAGACTGATCTGTGCTTGATTACAGAGGCAGTGGGGGTCCGGAAGGTTGACGATAGGTTTGTACGCTCTTTCTCCCTCCATCCCTCCTCCTTCTCTTTCCTTTGCTATTTTCACCCTCTGCCTGTCGCTCTCTCGCTCTGCCTGCGGGCTGTGGTGGGTGGCGGTGGGGGACAGCTTGAAGAATGGCAACCATTGCCAGGGTCAGCTCTGACAGTGCCAATTTGATGCGCTGCCACAGAGAGCTATGTGCCCCACCTCCTTCCTCCCCCCTCATTCTCTATCTCCCTGTCCTCCTACCTCCCACAGAAAAAGCTGTGCGTCCTGATGGTTTTCTGATGCAAACCATGGCGCGGCAAAATGGTTTTTCCCCTCCTGCTGCCTGCTTCTCCATCTGCCACTGGGGCCGCGCCGCCGCCGGCCGCCTGCCTGTCACAGCGTGCAGTGAAATTAGCCAGGGAGGAGGCGCTCGCTAGTGCTAATTACGTTTTAATCATTGGAAATGTGTTGGCAAATCAAGGCCTGGAGCTCCCACTCTCTGCTCTGCAGTAGGAGTGTGTATGTGTGTGTGTTGAGCTGTATAGAAGAGGAAGGATGAAGAGAGAGAGGAAGCAAAAACAGGCACAGCC